TTTTCTAAAACAAGATGTAATTTTGAAATTAATTCATCACAATAAGAAAACACATCCAAGCCTAAGTCTAATAACAAGCAATACATTATCCTTTTCAACATAGGCCATGAAAATAAAAAATGAATGAAGCAAACTAAATAAATCTATACAAATCTAATGCTAACATCATCAAAACTAAAACTTCTTCAATCTTCATAAAGATTTTCAAGAGAGGCTTCAGTAATTGACTCAATAATTATGATGGAAAGAAGTTGAAGAAGTGATTAATGTTCTTCTAGAATCTCCACCTTCACGACTTTTCTCCTCTTGAGGTATGTTAATGGCGGATTGATGGAGACCTTAACAAGCTCCAAGGCTTGTTGAAGCATCCAAGGTGGATCGGCCACTCCTTGCAAGTGAAGAAGCTTGATGGAGCCAAGGCACAAAGGTTGGAAACCTTTATGAAGAAGCTAGGAGAGAAAGTTCTCCACGGCTAAGGTGACTTTGAGAATAGAGAATTCAATAAGAATTTCAGATTTCATTCATCAAAAGTGAGGGAAAATGAGAGAATTACAAATATATAGTAGGAGGTAGCTTAAGGAGCAAGCTAACTTTAACCATGGTTCAAGTGAACCATGATTTAGTTGCTTGACCGTCCAAGCTAGTTAAGAGGCTTGTGGAGCAAGCTTCTCACTTAGCTTGCTTGGGAAGCAAGCTAAGGAGAAGCTTGTAGCACAAGCTTCTCAAGCTTAAAGGAATGAAGAAGCAATTTCGGCCAAGGATGAAGACTAGGAAAGCTAGGCGGCCTTGGACTCCTTTAGCTCCATGAAGAGAGGTTTAGGCTCTTCAGCTTCAGCTTGTGGTTCTACTTTCAATTTCGCTTTAGGTTGAGAAGGTTCACCAGCTTCCACATTGGGTGCGTCTTCTCTAGACAGCCAACCTGCATTGATTTTCACTAGCTTCATCATATTTAATGCTTTATCCTTAATATCATGGATATCTTTTGTTGATTCTCTAGCTTATCCTTCTAGAGGTACATTGTAATGAGCTAACACTTTACTTATGAACACGACATATGGACACTTGTAATCCATCAGCCTTCTTGTCTTCAGCATTATGTCTTCAATTACAAATACCTAATTAATTTGAATTTGATTCTTTATGCCAGCCAAAAGAATCATATAATCCTCACTCATCTAAGCATGGTTGCTTCCTCTAGCAGCAATTGTGTTTGCAAGAATTTTTTATTTTGTTTAAAATCCCCTCTTTGACACTGCGTGATAATTTTTGGATTTAATTGATTTGTGTCTTTGAGAAAAATGACATATGTTCGTCTCTATATTGAAAATTTAAGAGGGATCTAATTGTTTATTTTTTATAGTGACTCAGCAATGCTATCATCCACTTGCATTCGTTTTTCCTCAAAAAGTGGTTGTTTTTCTTTAAACACTAGAATAAAGGCGAAGCCTTATACCTAGATCAAGATAAGAAGTGAGAAAACGAGGCAATCCTTCCAAACAATTGTTGAACCCTTTTCACATTGCTCAAAGTTCTCATGTTGATGATAGTTAAGCAATTATTTGTGTTTGCTTCAATCCCTTGATGAGTTAGGAGAAACTTGAGAAATATACCCTTCTCAAACACTAAATGAACCTTTATTTTTTTTATTTCATTAAGTGTATTGAACAACTTTCAAAGGTAGGTTGTATATCGAGATATCACATCAAATTAGATGACCATGTTGTTTACATAAGCTTCAACATTCTAACCTAACATGTTTGCCAAGACTTTGTCAAATAAATGTTGATATGTTACTTTAGAGTTCTTTAGTCCAAAGTGTATAACACTATAGAAAAAATTTAACATTTCTACACAAATGCCAATTTAGCCTTTTCCTTAGGGTGCATTCAAATTTGATTATAGCTTGAGTATGCATCCATAAAACTTAATAGTTCACATCCAAAGGCTTCGTTCATCAAGTAGTCAATGTTTGGCTAAAGATATGAATCTTTTCCTTAGGGTGCATTAAAATTTGATTATATATAGCCTGAGTATGCATCCATAAAACTTAATAGTTCACATCCAAAGGCTTTGTCCATCAAGTAGTTGATGTTTGGCTAAAGATATGAATCTTTGGGGCATGCCCTATTCTAGTAAGTGAAATATCTACATATCCTCCATTTATTGTTTGACATTTTGACCATCACTATATTTGCCAATCGAGTAGGGTACTAAATTTCCCAAATGTGTTTTGTTAATAGTTTATCCGTTGTTGTCACAATTATCTCTCTATTTTTAGGGCCAAATTTCCTTACTTTTATAGCTATTGGTTTATCTATGGGGTCGAATGTCAGCTAATGGCATAAGAAATCTAAATTAATTCTTGACTTCTATATGGGGAATCATTCATTATGACTTTAACTATTTTGTTTGGCCCAATTTTTACCTTTTTCAAATCCTCTACTAGATGTAGTCTTTGATCTTCAAGAACTTCCTTATGGTCAAGGTCCACATCATGTGTGTATTCAATTGATTATGGTAGGTTTGTCATGTGGGCTTGTCTTCAATTCCTTAAAATACCTTCATAACACTTTGTAGTCATCTCTTGATTGACTTCCAAAGTGTTAACATCCTCATTAATCATGGGACACTTCACCTTAAGGTGCATTGTAGAAAACAACAACTTCTAGTTAGTTTTGTGAGGAACAACCAAAGGCATGTTGTTGGCAGATGAGACATTAACCATGATGTATTTGATAATTATGGTTTTTGCTTTGTCGTCGTAGTCAATGGTTGTTTTGAGCTCTACGAGACCACATACTTCCACTTGATCTACCTAAAAACCAACCAATATTCCTACATCTAGTCTTAAGGAGTTAAAGGGGATGGTTAGACCCACAAAGTATCCCAGAATAGAACATCCATTAAGCTTCCTTCATCAACCAACACAAGTTTGACATTTTTCTTCATCATGGTCACCAAAATTGCCTAAGTTATCATCATAAGGAATGACATCTTAAAGATCATCATTGAAAAACCTAATCATGGGTTTCTTCAACTTTGTTGATTTGAGAATGTCATGACCAATTGAGCTTATATTTTTAAGTAAAGAACGTTGCTTCTCTAATGGAAAAGCCTCCAACTATTGTATTAAAATCACCTTGGATTGGGCCAAATCCTATAAATAAGTCTAGTCTCTTTTCATCTTTGTCAGGTTTGCAATTTGTATAGGCCTTATGTCAACTATAGTAAGCAAGACTTTTGTCTTTAATCAACCTTGTTATTTGTGGTTGCAAAACAATTTTTTTTGGTGTTGTGTTTGTATACTTAGTGAAATGCACACTATGCTTTCTTGTCTCTTCCCTACCTTCGGGGTTGGTCTTTTGGGGATAGTGCAAAAGTTTAGCTGCATTTACTTCTTTTAGGACTTCTCTACATGCCACCCTCAAAGGAATGAGTGCCATTATAGAGTAATCCTTTTAGTCATTCGAGGTTGAGTGTCGACATTTCTCCTAATCTCATCAATTATCTAAATTTTTGGTTCGATAGTCGTTTCACTTATTCCAACTTGAACATAGCTTTAGATAATATTTTCCTCTATTTGTCCTTGAAGTTGAACCAGTTGTCAATCCTAACAATTATTTTCCTTGGTTTGACCTTGATATTTGTTACACTTATTCCAATTTGATGAACACATCTTTAGGTAAACTTTTCCTTCGTTCGGACTTGAAGCAAAACTAGTTATAAATCCTAATAATGATCATTTTTAGCCTCCCACTTCTATCTTGTTCGCTTTTCCACTTCGATCTAACAAGTTGCTCAGCTCATATCTTAAACATTGCCAAAGTCAAGCAATGTACAAGAGATTCTAAAAATTAAAAGGCTCGTCCTGAGGCTACTACCTAAAGTTTCTATGAAAATACCTTCATTGGGGGTTAAAATGGAACATAGCTTCTACAAATATACCTAATTCAACTTATTAGTCTCACTAATGGAATTGATGAATTATTCCATATTTGAATTTCAACATTTTTCCTTTTAAATAATGCATCAATTGTAGTTGTCTTCTTCATCTAAAAATTGGCAAATACAAAAATGGTTAACAAAATTTATTTATACATTTTAACTTTTCTAGTTTTTATTATTATTTTAGTATAAAATTATAGAAAAGAAAATAAAAAAGACTAAATGATGCAAGAATATGAATCTTTAGTTCTCTGTTACAATAATTAATAATAATAATAATAATAATAAGCATTATTTATTGATTTCATTCTTAATTTTATTATTATAAAAAAAATAAGTAAACACAAGAGAAATTATATGTTATGCATATGTATGTAAAAGGAGTTAATTAAATAATGCAAAACCTAGCTAAGATTGATATTTGGTGTTGGTGTCGTATGTGTTGTACAATTTGTAATTGCATTTGTTGGGAACTGTTGGAATGAAAATGAATAATGTGGATAATAGATGACTAGATGAAGTATAAGTGGTATAGAGACATGAAAATATTAAGGTATAAAATTATAAAATGATGATATTTCACCTCATAAAAACTTAATTATCCTCATTTAACTTCACCCTTATATATTAGTTTCTTATTATTTTTTATTTTTATTAATCTAAATTAGTTTTTATCTCTTAGCTTATTTATTTTTTCTTAAGATTGGTTATCATCATATGAATTATCTTTAATCATATCTCAATGTATATGGTCTAAGTTACCAGACCCAAATTAATGGTTAATTAACAAGTGACTCATTATCAAGTCAATCAACGCTCAATAACTCAACCCAATTATCATCAACGTTATAATAAGAAAAGTCTAATTATTCTAACATTACATTGAACATAATTTTTTTTTATAATTTATATTAAATAATATTATATTTGACATTTAATGCCTTTTATATTATAATAATATTATTGTTTTTTTTTTTTACATAATATTATATTAAAAATTTAAAATATACATTTAGATAGCATAAATTATTTGATAAAACTCTAATACATTACGACCCTTATACCGCAATCCGATTTTAGAGAAGTGTTTGCACCTTTCCATCTTCAAACAAACTACATTCGCAGCCTTTGTCGGCACACTTCGATTTTCCACTCCAATTCCGATTTTCTCTTCTCACCACTGTTCTAGGAAATTTTCCCAGAAAAATTCATCCCTGTCTTCCCCACTCGCTCGAAAATCCGAGCGACAATAAGACCCTCTTTCGATTCTCGCTCGCTTCGGTGTTCTTGTGGGATTCTTTTTTTTCTCGCGCAGAGCAAAACCCTCTAGGGTTTGCGAGGAGCAAGGGCTATGTCAGGCCTGGGGCAACTCAACGTGAACGAGTCACCTTCGTGGGGATCCAGAAGCGTCGATTGCTTCGAGAAGTTGGAGCAAATTGGCGAGGGCACATATGGGTCAGTGTTCTCTCATATCTCACTATTTCTTCTTGTTTTCTTTTCAGAAGTTAATTGTTGCACATTGTTTGTTTCAATTTTATTGTTATTGTTACTATTTATATTGTGGTTTGTGGTTTATGGTTGTGGACAACGACTTGTGTTTGATCATGTTATTAATCTAATTTATTATTGTTTTTTGGGAGGGGAGGGGGATTGGATTGGGAAGTGTATGTATATATATATTTATAATGATTTAGGTTTGAGTGTCTGAGAGAAGTTTATAAAAGGGAGGTATATTAAGGACATGTTTGGATAAATTTCTCCATCAGTAGTTATAGAGGGTAAAGTGAATTGAGTTTCTCCCGTGTAAGTTAAAATTAACTCATGTACTTTAACTTTCTTTAACTTTCATAGAAGTTCTTTTATCTAACTTTTTCATAAGTTGATTATAAATTATAGGAGAATGGTAAATATATTTTACCTTCATAAAATTTTCTCTTAAAAGTGTTGGTCAAGAAGTTTATTCAAATAAGGCCTAAGCTTTTGCCTTTTGGTTTATGGAGAAGCAGCGTAAGGGTATGGGATTGTTAGCTAGTGAATGGAACTTCTTGAAACGAGATACAATTAATTTGATTGCTAGAGTAGAGTGGATGGTAAAAGAATCTGGCCTTTTTTGTCAGCAAACTGATATTCACAAGTTTAACATCTTATCAGGAACATAAATAACAGTGTTAATCTGGTTCTTGTTCTGTTCACAAGCTTCAGGATTATCTGTTTCTATTTGTTTAATTACATTTTGGTGTTGCAAGTAATTTACTTTCGAAATGTTTTATACTTTGTGGTTTTTTTGGTTGGTTGGTTAGGGGGGGGATTGGGGGGGGGTGGGGGCAGAGAGGAGTTGAGGCTGAGAAAGACAGAATATTACTTCTTTCATCTAAAGTTCCTTCACTTTTGACATTGTCCGGACACATATATTTATGTTAAAGTCTCCTTCTGATGTTCACAATCAATTCAAATGCTTCTTAAAAATGACTATTCTGTCATTCATGTATTTTTATCTGAAGGAATATGCCGTGATGAGTTTACTTTTGACAAATTGCATAACATTCTTACACAATTTCTTTTTAAGTTGTTTGAAAAACATTGCTTGACTTGAATCACTTATTCTTAAATGAAGTTCATTTGTTTATTTGGTAGTTTTTATATGGTTACATCTACTTTACTCATTTTGTTATCCTGTTGCCATGCTTAATTGCAAACCAGTCTCAATTCAATTTTTTTGAAAGATACTTTTGGGCCAGGTTAAGCATGAATTAAACTTAAGTTGGACATGTGATATTTAGAGCCCTGGATTAATGAGAATGTAGCTATATCAACCAGCAACTTTTGATCAGTGAAGCAATCATTAGTGTTTAAATTAACATATTTTGGAGTAAAAATGAGTATTTTTTATGGCAACCTCCTGAGAGAGTTTAGAAAAATGAGTAAATGATCATTATTTTTATTAATCTGTTCCAAACACCCAGTTACCCACTTAGTGGATTGTGTAAACAGATTTAGGGAGAAAGATTGTTAGGATCGCAATCCTCAATGGGAGGTTGCATGATTTTAAGCTTTGTGAGGGGTCCTCCTTGCTAACTCTTGCTGGGATCGTGACAGAGTAGTTCTGCGGTCTTCCATACTCAATTGTGATACTCAATTGTGGGATCGACGATCCCCTACTAGGTGGAATACAAAAAGGTTGGTTCTTTTATGACCTGGTTGCACTCGATTTGCATAAAGAACCCTAAAATTTAACGCTCATCTCCTTTCCTATCTTCTTCGTGCCTCGATTCTCTTGTCCTCTGTCGCGACCTGCACAGGACATCCACTGTTGACTGAATCGTGATGTCGCAATGTTGTTAGGCTTCACGTTGCCTCACCTAGGGCTGTTTATGGTTTGATTTTTTGAAAAACAAATTGATTCATTTTATAAAAACTGTTTTGTTAACCAAACCATTTTTTTATTGGTTTGGCTTTTCTAAAAATGGATAAGACTTTTTTAGAATGGATCAATTTGGTGCAGGTTGATTATTCATTTTGTACTCATTTGTTTTTTTTTATAAATAAAATACCATAAAAGTTTATCAATTAACCAAAGTGCTTTTACAAATTGGTTCAATTTGGTTTTATTTTCTCAAGACATCGGTTTTTATAAATCAGTTTGGTTCAATTTTGCATCGGTTTAATTTGTTTTAGTTTTTTTGCACACCCCTAGCCAAACTAAAGTGTTTACATAATCGTGGAGCTTTTGTGAACTTGAATTATAAACTCTAAGGGGACGTTTGGTACACAAAAAGTTTTTACTTTTCCAAAAATCTGCATTGGGAATGTTAGTTTCTCGCATTTGATTTATCATTTAAAAAATAACATTTTAAAGAAACATTGTTTTCCTGGAATGTTTTTTGCATCGATTTTTCACAGGATTATTCTCAGGGAAGGAGGTGGGAAACTAACTTTCCCGAGGTAAAAATAAAGTTTTAATGTAGTATAAATGTAATGTTATCTTTATTAGTTTATTTAATGCAATAAAAATCCTTGATTCCTTAGTAAAATTCATAAACATTCTGAAAAACATTTTGACTAACCAAACAGATTTTCATGATTCTTAGGAATTATGATTCTCAAGCATGAAAAAATAATATTAAAAATCTTATAAGTAGTGCGTGCTTCTAATAATATAACAGTTCAACATTTTAACTCTAAAATAAAGAAAAATAGCAAATCACAATATAATAAAATAATAAAGTTTGACAATACTCATAAATTTAATAATTGTTCTTACAATACAAACATTTAAAAAATAATATATTGATATTATACAACCGAAAACAGCCAAATATAAACAAAATCACAATTCATAAAATAACTACAAAAGTAAAAAGTTAAACTTAAAAGAAAAGATAACGGAGTGAATGGGCCTCTAGCTAGAGACCAGGACCTTCCAAGTGAATGACAGATTTGGAAGTGCATGACTAGATCCCCTATGCATAGGTCATCTTCAATGACCAAAGACCACAACCTGATCCTATCTTAAAGCTTAAAATTAAGGCCTTCCTCCGTTAATTTCATTATGGAATTGTTTTACATAAATTATATTATGGTAATAAATTTAAAGATATGATAATTCTATTCTAAGTATTATTATACTAATATTTTTATGATTTAGGCTACTGTTATCTAATTAATTTGTCTAATATTTTGAAGTTATTTTTTTATATATGTTTTTTATACATACATGTATATAAATATATAAGTATAATTTTATATTTTATGTAAGAATGTAGGATCTAGTGATCCAAGTTACGATCCCCGAGTTATGAGTTTTCTTCTACCTTCCAATCCTAGGTAAAATCTTGATTTTAACAACCTTGGTAGGGAGTAGTATTATATGCAGGATGTTAAAAGAAAATGGAACAGCAACCCTCCCTTGACAGGATTTTTTCTTACAACAGTTTTGAAGATGTTATGGAATATTAGGTGAGGCAGAAGTTATGTCCTTTGAGGTTGCAGTTTATTTGTCATTTGTGATTAATTCTTTATTTTTTAGGTTTCTTTGGTTGCTTGTAAAATCTTCTTGTGCTGTGTTTTCTTCACAAATTTTCTTCTTTTGAAGCTGTTTTTTTTCATTTCACTGTAGTTTTTGCTTGCGTAAATTCTTATGTCTCACACCACACCCATTTTTCTTCAATGGAACATAGCTCCCAAGTCCATTTTATTCCTAAATACTTTAAAATTTTAGCTCTTCACATCTTTTTTGTTTGGATACTTGTTCCTTCTTCCATAACATTGGACTTTCATGAAATGCTTTAAAATTTTACATTTGGATTGGAATTATTTTGCTCCTGTATGTTCCATTGGACACCTATTTCCTAAAGGGAAATAATACTTGATAATGTTTGTTTGCAGTCAGGTTTACATGGCTAGAGAGATCAAAACTGGTGAAATTGTTGCTCTGAAGAAAATACGAATGGACAATGAGAGAGAAGGGGTATATCTTTGACCACCTTGCTGAATGTTCCATTATATTTCATTTCTTGGTAGCATAACTTGTAAGTTAATGCTATTTGTGTGATACTTCATCTGTGGTATCCTTGGTATTTTTTTTTCTTCTGCATTTCCAAACATTTGATTGTTCAATTCAGTGTACCAAAATCTGAAGTTGCAGTAGCTATCTGTTGCTCTGTCTGTAATTAGAGTTTCCTTCTGAATCATACCGAGTTTTGTCATTGCAGTTTCCTATAACTGCTATACGTGAAATCAAAATTCTAAAGAAACTACACCATGAAAATGTAATCAAGTTGAAAGAAATTGTGACTTCTCCAGGTACGTCAAATATCTTGCTGCTATTAAAATAGTGTAGGCTTCAATTTATTCACTTCTAAAATTTATTAATTGTTTATTTTTTTTACAGGCCCTGAGAAAGATGAACAAGGGAGGCCAGGCAAGTTATTTATTTTCATGATAAGAGTCAATTACCTCATTTTCAACTAGACAGTAGCATGTAGTCTGTTTTACTGTTTTGACTCAGAATATATCCATCTTCTCCCTTTAGATTCTCTTATTTTCTGTATTTCCCTACTACATCTTTCTTTTGTTTTTATGTTTTTTGGATGTGCAGATGGTAACAAATATAAAGGTGGCATCTATATGGTCTTTGAATACATGGACCATGATTTGACAGGTCTTGCTGATCGACCTGGAATGAGATTCACAGTTCCCCAAATTAAGGTATTACTATTAATATTAAGTGTTAATTGATATATTAATAGTTGCTTTAGTGATGCCTGACTCGGTTTTTTTCCTTCCAAAGTGTTACATGAGACAGCTTCTGACTGGGCTGCATTACTGTCATGTTAATCAAGTACTTCACCGTGATATCAAAGGTGTCCTTTTGATAATGTCTTCCAAAGATACATATACTAGTTTTGGATTTAGATTTTATTAAATCTATTACTCCTATTTAATGTATTTTTATTTTTTATTTTTAATTGCAGGTTCAAATCTTCTCATAGATAATGAAGGTAATCTAAAACTTGCAGATTTTGGACTGGCACGATCATTTTCTAATGAACACAATGCAAATCTTACAAATCGTGTCATCACATTATGGTACAGGTAATTGATGTTCTTATAATCATTGAGTTTTTAATTTTGAACTGACTAAGTTTATTTGGGAGGGTGGCATCATGAAAATAAACCTGTACGTGTATTGATTTATTTTATTTTATATTTAGACCCCCTGAGCTGCTCCTTGGGACAACGAGATATGGACCAGCTGTAGATATGTGGTCTGTAGGGTGCATTTTTGCAGAACTTCTTCATGGGAAACCTATCTTTCCTGGAAAAGACGAGGTTAGTGATAATATATAATCTTTGTGTTGTCTGAGAGAGATTGTCCTCATATTTGAATATTTGATGGAAAATACTCCTGTTGTTGGGAAATTGTTTAGTGGATGGAGTGCTTTTATCAAGTATATTATCAATACTCAGTACTGCTATGTTTTAATGGCCGAATGAAGAGATTCTTCAAATTACTTGCATACTGTTTCTGTTTTTGTCCAAGTTACTTCAGATATTTGGTGCCTATCAAAATAATGATTTTTATCTGAAAATGTTAGAATATGGATAATATTTGTGTTTATTTGCATTATTGTTGTTTTTTATATTATTCTTCAGCAGTTGATGGAATGCTAATGGCAATGCAAGGCTTGATTGCTGGATCTAACCTTAATATACTTTTCTAGAATTTAGTTACCTATGTTTTTACTTCCATTCTATTTATTGCTTTTAGCATGTGTGACCTACAGTGTATAATATTCATGGTAATTGTTTCTAGTTCAGCTAGAAGATAATGCATGTTTTCTTTGAAATTATAGCCGGAGCAATTAAATAAGATCTTTGAGCTCTGTGGAGCACCGGATGAGGTGAACTGGCCTGGTGTTTCTAAGACTCCTTGGTATAATCAATTTAAGCCAACACGACCAATGAAAAGACGTCTCAGGGAAGTTTTCAGACAGTAAGTATCAGAATATGAGCATAAGTAATTTTACATATTTCTTATCTCTCCCCAAAAACATGAGTAATCATGTGCCTATTCAAACTGAGTATTAGCATAAATCCTAAACACTAAAACTGAGTACTTTATTTATTTTTTGTGCCTATTCAATCTGAATAGCTTTTATCCCTGTGAATGAATTACAGTTTTGATCGTCATGCTCTGGAATTATTGGAGAAGATGCTGACACTTGATCCTGCTCAGGTATTTTTTTTAATTGCTGAATAAATGTTGAGTTGTTTCATTTTAGTGTTTCGACTTTCAAATACCTGGTATCCCAATATTTTTACTCTATTTGGTCTCTTTCTTTTTTGATAATGTTAATTGTATGTTTGTATCTACAATTATTTAGTTATTTAACATATTGACAAATTGCCTTTTCAGCTCATGACAACATTGTTATCATCTTGTTTTGGTACTGAGTGGCTTATGTTATGTGATCAATATGGTGAAAATAAAATATACAAAAAAAGAATACAATTGCATAGTGCTGGTGTGAGACTCGACGTAGAATATATTAATGCATGTGAAAATTTTAAAATATGAAATATATTGTTTTCTCTTTCAGTGTAATCCAATGATTATATTGTTCATGTCTGGGGGAGATATTCTTTTGTTATGAATAATTCTGCTTTTGGTCTGCATCAGTGCATCCTAAAATTTGTTTGCCTATTTAATTTCCCAATAGAGAATTACTGCCAAGGATGCACTTGATGCTGAGTATTTCTGGACTGATCCGTTACCATGTGATCCCAAGAGGTATAACCTTCTTAGAAGTATATGATTTTTAAATGTCTCCCACATGTGTACAAGTTATATTCCGTTAAGTTTGTTGTTTTGATCATCTATAATTTACTATTTCTTTTCAACTTACTATTAGTCTATGTTTGGCTTAGTTTACCAAAGTATGAGTCATCACACGAGTTTCAGACCAAGAAAAAGCGTCAGCAGCAACGACAAAATGAAGAAAATGCCAAGCGTCTTAAAATGCAGCATCCGCAACAACATAGTCGTCTTCCCCCCATTCAGCAAGCTGGGCAACAACATGGCCAAATGCGGCAAGGTCCTAACCACCCTATTCATGGATCTCAACCAACAGTTGCTGGAGGACCTAGCCATCACTATGGAAAACCCCGAGGTCCCTCTGGTGGACCAGGAAGATATCCACCTGGTGGGAACCCTGGTGGTGGGGGATACAATCACCCAAATCGTGGAGGTCAAGGAGGAGGGGGTGGTGGTTATGGCAGTGGGCCATATCCTCCTCAAGGGCGGGGTGCACCATATGGGTCGAGTGGAATGCCTGGCGGACCTGGTGGTGGTCCTCGTGGTGGCAGTGGGAGTGGCTATGGAGTTGGAGCACCAAATTATTCTCAAGGTGCTCCTTATGGTGGGTCTGCAACTGGGCGTGGCTCAAACATGATGGGTGGTAACCGCAACCAACAGTATGGTTGGCAGCAGTAAAATAGTGCTTATTGACAGTATGGTTGGCAGCAGTAAAATAGTGCTTAGTGTGATTTCGTGATGGTCTGAAGAGATGGTGCTTGATGAACAGTGATTGAAACTCGGACATACTGATGGATTGAGTTATTAAGAAAAAGATATCACCCTTATTCATTGATTATTGATAAAATAGTTTGATTACTTGAACTGCATTTAAGTGTCTGTAAAACACCTAACATGTTTCTTGTCCTTCAGTCGCAAAGAGACCACTAAAGGGGAGAGAACCACTTGATGCTTTTTATAGTTTTTTCAATATTTTATACCTTTGATTCCTGAGCAGTATGCTTGAAGATGTATAATATACTACTGTTGTAGATGACATTGTTTTTCTTGAAATCTTTAACCATGTTTTCTTTATTTTTTATAATGCTTTGTAATTAACTTAACGTTCTGTGGTAATGTGAAGGCGCAAGACATTAACTTGCCTTCTTTCTACTTTAAAAGAGAGGATTTTTGTGATAGAAAATGATATTCATAGACTTGGTATTTGTATCTACTAGTGAGAAATAAGAATAGGAGAGAGAAAAAATTAGGTTGATGAGAGGTACAGGTGATGTTAAGTATATAAATATCATTGTTTTTGTGATTGAAATGCTCAACTTAACATTCGGTTTGGTTCTTCAAATTATAGTGGCTGTTACTTATTATTTTTCTAATCGATAGGAATCGTCATTGCTAATACTTTGGTTTGTGAAGCTATTGCATCATATAATTTTATCCAAAGGGATGAATTTGCTTATCAACTAATAATTTAGTAGGATAAACTTACTGATGCGCATTCTCACTACCATCAAGTTATATAGAGAGAAAGAAAGGGAAGAGTTTCATTTATTTAAAGGGTAAGTTTACTTAAATTTATTTCATATTCTACATTAAATTTTAATGATTTAGATATTGAATTAAAAAAAATTAATACATAAATCAAGTTTACAAAGTTTTAAAATTTTTGAAAATTATTTAATACTTCATTTTATTAATTTAAATTGATAAATAATAATAAAAGTATTTTATAAATGTAGTACCAAATAATTTTCAAATTTTTTAAAATTTATAGATTTGATCTATGCATAAAAAATTTTAATTCAACAATTAGATCATTAAAATTTGATGTAAAATATGAGTAATTGAGTGAAATAGGTATACATTTGAGATAAGTGAATTTGTTTATACTTGTGTGTGTCCAACTCCTTTCTCTCCGGTTATTAGGCTAATTATAGTGATTTACATAAGTGATTCCATCAAGTTATATTAGTTTAATATTAACCAAACTATTAATTACATATAATTGATGTTAGGAATCAAATAAAGTATATTAATTAAAAAATATTCACATAGACAATAATTGTTATGGGAAAATGTATAATTTATAAATAAAATATTTTATAGTATTTGTTTTCAAAATAAATTTAATTAAAAAATATAAGTCAGTTTCACTTGTGTCAATTTAAAGTTAATAAACATAATAGTAATTTTATTGGCTAAAACTATAAGTCTATAGCATTAAGTTGAATTAAACAAATATGTACTAAAGATTATATTGAAATAAATTTTGTACTTCCAAATAATATTTTCTCTAAACAGAGTTAGGAATCAAATTCTAACAATATGCTTAAGAAGCTTATTTATTTACTAACTGTGGTGGACTTTGTTTGTATAAATAAACTAATGGTTGAGAACTTTATAAATTTTAGTTATTTTTCTATATAAATATGATATTTTGGAGTAAATGAAATCAAAGTAATATAAAGTACAAAGATTTTAATGGTTTCTTATAACTTAATTGAATTCAATGATCTAAATGAGAATATGCTTTGCTAATTCTTTTTTTGTTGAGTTAATAGTCACTACAACATAAATAGGTTTTAATAACATTTAAAAAAAATTATTTAATTATATATAAATGTTACTAATTTACTTTTGCAACATATTATCAAATATTGTATATAGTCCATGTTGTTAAAGACTTTTAATAATATTTTTATATAATTAGGTAACATTTTTCAAATGTTAGCAAAGTAGTATTTTTGTAACATTTTAATGATATTGTCAATATTTTGTTAATTTTATAAAATGATAATTAATTTTAATTTAGATATATTACTATCAATTATTATATTTTTATCTCTCTTAAATTCTTAAGAGTTCTTTAAGAGAAAATTAAAGACATTCTTAATCAATTACCACTTATTATATATAAAATATCAAATTTCATTTTAGTATAACTATATGTTTATATATACTCTTTATGAGTCTTTAATCTATTCGACGCGAGACTTTAATTATGGTTAACAATTAGAGATAAGAAAAATTTACTTTTTTATTCGATATGGGGCTTTGATTTTAGAAATAATTATAGTAACATTTTTATAAAAAAAAATGTTGCAAAATAACCTATGTAAATTTTTTTTACTCAATATGAGACTTTGATTTTGAAAACAGTTAGAAAGAATAATATTGAAATAAAAAAAAGTTACTCTATCTATAATGACATTTTTTAAAAAAGTGTAGCAAAATAACTTATTTTTTTTAATATATAGTAACATTTTAACAAATATAAATAAGAAAATGTTGCTAAAGAATTGAAATATAAGTAATAGTCTATCTCACAATTTGATGTTTTCTATTACTTTAAGGTTTAATACCGAACCTTTTATAACTAATCTAAAAGAAATGTATTGGAAAAAGAATTGCAACTTGTTACTTCATTTATAAACCTTCAGAGAATAATACTAAAATCACAATTAATGCCAAGTTGGATAGCTACAAAGCTATAAGTCATAAGAAACATAGAACCACACTTGAACTCGTTTACATCCATATTTGAAGAACAATTCTTTCCCGTCACTTGTACTCTCCAACCCTGACCAACGATATATTGCTATGTCGAATAAAGAATTTCATTTTAAGGTTTTAGTAAATTAAAAAATATCAGACTACAATTCAACATAATCCAGATAGTAGAAATATATTTAATTTTTATTTTAAATAAATGTTTTTATTTATGTTAGGTATTTATATTTTAATTTATCATATGACATTTTTGTTTGTATACGTGTTCTTGAATTTGACGCAATAAAGTGGTAGATGCGATATTTTAAAAATTAGACTAATTATTAAATCAGTTAAAGTGTTAAGTTAATAGATAAAAAATAAAATTAATGAGTTATTAATTGAACCACATAATCCGATCTTTATTATTTTTTTATATAAAAATATAGCATATATTTTATACCTATAAATTTTAATAAAATTTATATCATGTTTTAAAGAAATCTCCAAAAAAAAATTATAAGGAATTTAATATTGATAAAGAAACCAAACTATGAATTGTTCAACCACATATATTAATATATACGAATTGATTTGATCCCCTTAGTTTTTTCTTTCACGAATTTCATCCCTACTACTTTTAAAATTCAAGTCAATTTGATGTCTTTCTTGGTTGTTTTATAATGCCAAGAAATTATCTCAAGGCAAGCACATGATACCTTTCTTGATCGCGACTTGAATGCTTAATTAAAAAATTAAATGGATCCAGTATTACTTGCTTCTTAACATAAACCTGATGTCAAAAACAAAACATAAGAAACACCTTGGTGTAAGAAAAACATAAGAAAACCTCACTGTCAAAAAAATATATGAAAAATCTTGTTGTCAATAAAAAAGAAGAAAATCTCTACTTTTAAGATATGTAGTTCCAATTAATACGTACTCATTTTCATTAAAACCAAAACTTTTTTTAATTGCTATGGATTAAAAAAAAAGAAAAGGTTTAGTCTTGTTTTATATTTTGTTGCTTAATTAATATTTTTGTCATTTTTTCTTGGTTCAAGACTTATATTTGTGTTTTTATTGAGTTTTATTGGGAATATATAAATGAAAAAGAAATTCTTTTATTTTTATATTTTAACAATGTTATTTTTTTTTATATTCTTTATTATTTTTTCTCTCATTTGGCTTCTTAAACGCTTAGTTTGTGATTGGATTCCGATCATGTACATCTCAAAAAAAGAAAATAAAAATAGTGTTATGAAATTCGGATCAGATCGATGGATTGGATTGATCTAACCGAACCCAAAAAATGCTACCAATGCGAAGCAGATTTAGAAGATAGGAGTCTGATGATAAATACATTAAAAACCATTTATTTCTAATTTGATTTATTTTAAAGAAGTTAATCATCGAGTTGTTAAATGCATGGTTTGCTTACTTTGCAATTTGTAAAAGAATATGATGATACATTATGGCACCCTTTCGTCAAAGACATGATGTCTTTCTTGATCGGGACTTGGTCCTTTTTATTAACAAATTAAATGGATCCGATTACTTACTTCTTAACTTAATAAATAACTTGTGCTAAAAAAAGAAGAAAGATAAAACGCCCTGCTGTAAAAATAATAAGAAAAATTCTACTTTATTGTAGTTCCAATTAATAAACCCACTTGGTTGAAAGACTTTATTTAAATAATAATAATAATAATAATTTTCATCATTTTTTTGTATTTTGTTTTTTTTTTCTTTCTAAAAAAGAGTCTTTATTATTGGTTCACGTGTACGACCTTGATAACTCTTATATTCGACAAATGATATATGATAAACATTATAGTACTTAACACATTAGAATGCAATGGTTTCTTACTTTGCAAAGGAATATGATGATGGCACCCTTGCGTCAAAGTCATGGATTTAAATAAGTCGTTTTACTAACTAATTGGCCTTTCTTTTCTTGGTTGTTATGTAAATGCCAACACATTATCTCAAGGCAAGCACACGATACTTTAACATATTATCTCAAGACAAGCAACCGATACTTTTGTTGTTGGTGGTTTTGGTATCTCAAATTATGTGGATAAATAAATTTAAAAAATAAATTTAAAATAACAAAAATTTTAGATTAAAAACTAGTACAAGATGAATTAATAAAAAAATATTAATTAAAAAAATAATTAAAAAGTTAATTTTCAATACAAAAATTTCTCAACTGGAACGGCCCGTTCCAAAATCAAAACGGCCCGTTCCGAAAAAGTAGAACGGCCCGTTCTCAAATCTCAACAGAACGGCCCGTTCTCCACACCAGAACGGCCCGTTCTGGGACTACAAAAATTTCACATTTTCAACATTTGGAACAGCCTGTTCCACTTTTGGAACGGCCCGTTCCGGAACCCAAAATATCCCTATAACTTTATTAAAATTACGAAAATGCCATTAAAATAATAATAAAAAATTGGGTGTTACAGAGTATAAATAAAATCTAAGAATAAATAAAAATAATATAAAAAAAATATGAAATTAAAGTATTTAAACATACTTTAACATTTAAAGTTAATAAATATTTAAATGAAGAGTCTCTTGAACATAAAATAATTTTCTAAGTTACAATTATTATTAAAGTACTCCTCATCCATTTTTTTCTCAACTTAAATGCCAATATGCAAATAATATATTGAGTGAAAATAAATGCTAAATTTTTTTGGTACTAAGTCTAATTGCTAGATTAAAATTAATTGAACAACGACTCTTGAACTAGCAAAAAAGTGACAAAGTTGAATGGTAGAGTGTGTGCTATGTGTGTCCAAATATGAATTGTATGATAATTTATAAGAGAGTGTATGATAACTAATAAAATAATAATATTATAAATATATTAATATTACTATTAAATAATAATATCATAAAAAAATTACTATAAATGTAATATTGCTAGAGTGTTATTAGTACAACAAAATAATATTGCACTTATGCGTTACTAGTAAAATCATATTATAAAATAATATTAAGATAATTATAATAATGAAATAAAATAATAATAATAATTTTAATTTTTTCATTTTTTGAATCATCAAATTTATATAATATAAATTCGTAATCCAAAATCAATAAAAGTTGAATTTATTTGATTTGGATATTATTTGATCCGATCAAGAAAAAACTAAACAAATTTAAACAATTCGATTCAGATCATTTATTTTATTAGATTGTCTGAACAGAGAAACATTCCTAGCACATCATAATTTGATATCACTCATCTTATTGACAAGAGACAAAGAAAGGTTTTCTTATTTTGAATCATAAACTCATTACCATCATAGTTTGATATATCACTCATCTACTGTAGAATAAATAATCTCTTTTTATTTGTAAATGACGTGAAATAGACCATCAAAGAGTTCTGAATATTGCTTTGACTATTCCACCATGCTAGAGAGCTCTTCCCACCAAGTTTCAAAAGAAAACCTGTTCAACATTGGAGTAGAACACATTGTTATTGTAATATACAAGTTATAATTTTTCAGAATCAAGAGTATTTCCAGCATATAACTACTATATTTGAAGTTATAATTTAATTTAAGAAAAGAGTTCAAAATAAGGAGCCTACAATAAAGAAGTGAATTAGGTGAAGTTTCATACCAATGAAGTAGTCTAATAAGCATAAAATCCCCACTCCCATTAATTATCATTATTAGAGCCTTTAACTCTAATGGATTCATGTTGTGACTCATTCTCATGGATTTGAGTGATGGATTCCAATCCATTTTCATTACTAGAGCCTCCAACTCCAACTCCAACTGCATCTCCATTTTCACTAGGCTGAGACTCATTATTATTGATTTGAGAAATGGATTCCAATTCATTTTCATCATCAGATTCTCCAACTCTAATTTCCATGCTTGAGGCATACACTGGGAAGACTCCACACTCTTTTATTCTCTCTTGACTGTAATCTTTACGACTACCCCGTTCATAGAAATGAAATTCAAATTTCAATGGTACGTCGTTGGAAAGATCTTTTGGTTTAAAATAGTGAAATGAAATGTGATCTGAAGTTAGATTTTTGGAGACTAAGTAATTGTCGTAGAAGACCCCTTCGTCATCTTGATAGACAGAAGACGAAACAATACCATCGTATGATCCCCTGTAAAGGACGAGGGAACAAATGAAACCACACAAGTTCGACGGTGAGAGGTAAGGAATAGTTATTGAAGTCCCTGCTTTTTGAAACTCACACTTGTCGGTCACATGGTCTCCTGGGAACATGAAAAACTTACCGAAGTTAAGGCTCTGTGAGCGACTCAACATGTGTTGTAATGCTATCCGTTGAGTGAAATCTGTCCCTAGAAGAGTGCAGTTAATGGCTTTCACATATGTCACAGATGGTGGAAGCTGTGGTAGAGACTCGAGTTTCCTACAATCATTTAACAAAAGCCTGTCAAGGGATGGTGGAAGCTGTGGCAGAGACACGAGTTCCCTACAGTCATTTAACTGAAGACTTTCAAGGGATGGTGGAAGCTGTGGCAGAGACACGAGTTTCCTACAGTCAATTAACTGAACAATTTCAAGGGATGGTGGAAGCTGTGGTAGAGACACGAGTTCCCTTAAATCACTTAAACTAAGCACACCCAGTGATGGTGGAAGTTGTGGCAGAGACACAAGGTTTTGACAATTTTCCAGGTGAAGTACTTGCAGCAGTGAAAGGTTTTGGATGTTTGCAAACAAGCTCACATCATTAATTCCACTTAACCATAACTCTTTTAAAGATGATAAGTTTCCAAAGTTGTGGTGGGTATGGCATGCATTGTGCTTCACACACTCAGAATGGTTCAGTGTTGTAATCGACCCCATTCCTCCTTCATCTGATAACTTTTCAAAATTGTTTGAGACTGTTAGAGTAAGTTTACTAAGTTTCCTATTTTCCCAAATTGATGACGGCAATGCACTTATAGTGGTTTCCAATAACTCCAAAGTAGTCATTTCCTTTGATGTAATTGAGAATTCCTTGAGAGATGATGAACAACCCAAGGTGCTAAGTTTACGAAGAGATTTTGAATGAACTTTAAGGATATCAATTTTTGAAAGTCCAAATAACTCCAACTGTGTGAGCTTAGGGAGAGACGTGATGGACGGATGGAGCTCACGCAAACTTATACAATATTGAAGAGAAATACGTTCAAGTTTTCTTGCCATAGATAAGTCCGGCATCTCAACCAGCTCTGGCAAGTCATCTAAGAGAATTGTCTTTAAATTCGAAAGATCCTGTAACAAGAAAGATGCATCACAATGTTAAGAAAAAATTTAAATTGATAATCATGGGCCTTAACTAAAAGAGAAACCTAACTAGTTACCATTCAAGGCTCACTTGTACCTTTAAAAACTTAGAGAAAAAAAATGTAGCAAGTATAGTCACATTTCTACCTGAACCCCATTCCAAAGCCTTTTAACCTTGCTCAGAGACAAGTGAAGCTCTACAAGTTGTTCAGCACAAAAGTTAGACGGCAAAGACTTGAGACAAAATCCATGCCATTGAAGGTACCTCAATTTATAAGAGAATGACTTGAGACCATGAGGAAGGGACACATTAAATTTTTTTTTATTCCGGTGCTTTGTATGGATTTTAAGAAATCTCACATTAGGCATCTTTGCAAGGAAATCAGAGCTCAAACACAGATCCTCAGTTAATGTATCCAAATTTTAAATTATCCCTTCAACATCATCAGTTCCCTGTTAAAAAAAATTAAAAATAATAATTGGTTGGGCTATCATACTAGCTACAGTACATAAATAAACCATTAAATTTTCCACTTACCTTGTTATATTTCAATACTTCATACACTTCATCATGTTTCCATAATCGACTTCGTCTTCCCGGATCTTTGATGGATTCTTGATAAACAATTTCTTGACCCATTTGTTGTATCAAGTCATGCATTTCTATCGAATTGTAATTTGAAATTGTTATGAGAGCTTTGTCCAAAAGGACTTCGATTCCAGATACTGCAAAGAAACCACAAGCTTCTAGTAGACTTGTTACAGAATTCTTGTTTTCTCCTTTCAGTAAGCAGGCAATGTCTAAAAAGATGTTCTTTTGAGAACGATCTAAGCCATCATAACTCAATTTTAAAATGTTATGAATTTGCATATTTGGAATCTTTTGGAGTTTTCTCAATTCACTTTCCCATACCTCTTCACTTCTTCGACGAAGACTTGCACCCATAACTTTTAAAGCCAAAGGAACGCCTTTACAATAGGAAACTACACTTCTTGAAAGATCTTCATATCCATGTTTAGGTTGTTTTTCTCCAAAAACAGTCAAACAAAAAAGTTGAAGAGATTGATCAGAGCTCAATTTCTTGACCTCATATACTTCATCAACTAGACTAAAAATTTGTTTATTTCTAGTTGTAACAATGACTCTACTTCCTGGCCCCAACAAATCATAATCTTCAACTAGATATTCTAATTGTTGTAACGTGTCCACATCATCCAACACAATTAAAACCTTTTTATGTTTAAGCTTACGCCTCACAAAATTCAGATCAAAACAATGATTTTCAATCTCTAACAACTTGGCGAAAAGTTTGTTATGTAAAGCTTCAAGTCCATTTTGACTGCTTGAATTTTCCCTTACATTTTTCAGGAAACAACAACCTTCAAACCGAGGAGACAATCTTGCATACAAAGTAGTGGCTAGGGTGGTCTTTCCTATGCCACCCATACCCCATATTCCAATGGTTATCACTTCAGTTGACCCAATTTTCAGTAATGATTCAATTTCCTCATAATTGTCCTCAATTCCTACCAGACCTTTAAGTTGGTTTTGGTATGTAGGAGTCAATTTTTGCAAAACATCTCCAACAATTTCCTTAAGGAGTTCTGATTCAGTCCTAGCATATGAAAGAAGAAACAATGAAATAAATGTTGTGTTATGAGCCTAACAAATACAATAGAAAAAAAAATAATTATACAAATGATTATACATAATCATAGATCAATATGTTAGAATAATAGAGAAAATGATATAATTGAGGAATAAAAATTCAATGACTTAGAGAAGATAAACAATATCTATGTTTTTTCTACACAATGAACTTATTTAAACTACCATGGAAATTATTATTCTACATACGCATGCGCTCATGCATCTAACGCAACTAAAAGTTTCCAAATACACATAAAGAATCTATGGATAGAATAAAATAAAAGTTATAAAAGAGTCGGCTTATTGAAGATATCGATATTAAAATTTATTTTTAGGTTATTGAATAGAAAATATTGGAAATATTTTTCAATAGTGAACTTCATTGTTAAATTATGATGCAAATTCTAGAAAAGAAAAGATTATTCTAGAAACATAAGATAATTGTATAAGAAAGAAGAAGAAAAATCTAGAAACATAAAGATAAAATGTATAAGTCTCTAGAAAAATCTAAAAGAGTGTAGAGACTTGAAAAGTTTAGAAAATTCTAGATATTTCCACCATCAACTAGAGATGGAGCATCATGCCTATAAATAGGCAAATTAGAGCTTCATTGTAATATCAACAACATCAACAACAATTACCACAACTACTACTTCTCTCTCAATACAAATAAGTTTCTATTATTCCTCCAACTATTCCCTTGACAACTATCATATACTAACAGTGGTACCAGAGCTACGTTTGGTCATCTACTGGGCGTAGAAAAATCACCCAACTATTTCCAAAATTCCCTTCTATACTTATAAACAATTTTCTTTGATCTATGGCCTCCAATACCGTTAATTTTTCATCTGTCCCTTTACCAGTTTTTACTGGTGAAAATTTGATCTTTTTTTTCCACAGATTAAAATCCGTCTGAAATTTCTGACGGAGTTTCCCACGTCTGAAATTATTAAATAAAATTTAAGCCAATTATTTTTCAAATGCAACCAATCCTAATCGCATCAATACACACAACAATGCACTATATAATATTTTCATTATTATATCGGTGCTTTCAAAATATAAATAAGATAAATATAAATCAAAGTGTGTGAGGTATAACTTATATTACCTATATATAATTATATGTTTAGGTTATTATAAATTATAAACTAATTAGCGTAAATGTGTTTTTTGTTACTTATCTTGAAAAATACCAACACATGACGTTCAAATTTAAGAATAACACATCTTTTCTTTAATTTTTAAAAATCACTCATCTCTTTGAAAATAACGTTATTAATTAAATAAGGGGGAAAAAAGTTAAATTATGTTCTGCAAATCATATATATGTATCTATCATTTATTTCTAAATTACATCCAATA